TCCTCTATAATAATAGGAGGACCCAAGAATCACTGTTCATGCTATAGTAAATGCTGCAGTAAATTACTGTAGCATTATATATATATATATATATATATATAATATTTTTATTATATATAATATTATATATTTATATATTATTATATATAATATATATATATATATACTAATATATATATAATATATTATATACTATATATGAGAAAATGGTATCTTGTACCAAGCATACCCATTTTACTAATATATATATACTAATATTATATATTATACATATATTATATATATATATATATATATATAATATATAGTATATATATATTATATATATATATATAATATATATATAGTATATATATAGAGAAGGGGGGAGAGAGAGAGAGAGAGAGAGAGAGAGATATGTGTATCCTTGTCATAGGAGGGATTTCCTCCTATGACGCCTCTTAAAAATCGACATGATGGCGACATTATGGATGATCCGCTCGGTTGGAACTTTGATCTCACATATTCTAAACCCAAACACACAAGTTTTGGGAGTGAACCCGGTCATCGTTTGAACCTTCATCACTCTTATCAATTTTAACGGTTTTGAATGAATAGAACTTTTTACATGGGCTCGATGGGAGGATCGAACGACCGACGGATTCACCCCAAACTTCGGCTGTGTTGGAGTTTTGAATATGTAGATCAAAAGTTAACGAGCGGAGCATCCATAATGTCGGCTCAAACTCATGTGATTAAAAAGTTTAAAGGCGTCAAGGAGAAATCCCCTCCGTATGACAAGGATAACCCATTAATGCTCATATATATATATAGTATTATATAATTATAATATATATAATATATAAATATATATATTATATATATATTATATATATATATATATTAATATGTATTATATAATATATATATATATATGATATTATATATAATATATATTATATATATATATAATAATATATATAACTATATATTATATATATTATATATATAATATATTATTATATATATTAAATATATTATATTATATATATAATATATATATTATATAAATATATAATTATATATATAATATAAATATATTAATATATTATATATTAATCTTGCAGAAAAAATTGGCAGAAGTTACAACCAGAGCTCTGATATCAGTTGTTGGGAAATTATTCACATTCCCCTATTGCCAGATTTAAGAGAAAGCGAAATAAATACACAAAATAGGGAACACACAAGATTTACGTGGTTCGGCACAAACTTGCCTACGTCCACGAGCTGCTACAGATCTTTCACTATGAAGAGAAATTTTACAACACTCTCACAAATTTCTCACAACCCAATCCCAACTCTGAAAATTGCTCAGAATTTTCTCTCATAAAGACTTTTCTCTAAGCCTCTCTTTTCTCTCTCTTTCTCTTCTATAAGAGGAGTTGTTTCTGGGATGAGATTTTCATTAAGAGTTTGAGGCCTATTTATAGTGTTTGGGAAAACACTGTTCACAGGTACAATTTTTGTAACTTCATGGTATACCCTTGGATTGGCCAGTTCCTATTTGGAAGATTGTAATTTTTTAACCGTTGCGGTGTAGTTCTTCTGCTTCCAGGATAAATTCCCCTGCTTGCGCCTCATAAAAAGAACTAGCAGGTTGGTGAATCATAACCCTGATAATATTGATATAACATCATGCATGAACGGTTCTTCTATTTCGCAGGATTGGGCTAAAGTAAGGGATAAAAAAAACAAGAAGAAAAAAAAGAAATAGACTTGAACAGCCGTACAGGCATCCTTTGTGAATCTTTTCCCTTCTTCCACGCTGCCCCGAAGAGTAACTAAGACGGATTTTTTGAGTTTTCGTGGAGGATTAGATCCAGTAACAGGAGGTTTGTGGCTGAGCGATATTGCTCATAATCATTTAGCTATTGCAGCACTAATATTTTATCCGCGGTGGGGCCCGCAGTGGGGCCCGTCTACATTTTTTCCTTTGCTTTGGGGCCCGCTTCTCTCATCTTTCGGTGGCTTTTCATTTTATCAAAAATGGCTGCCCCCTTTCAGTGGCTGAAATATTTGACCAAAATTTGATTGTTCCGGGGATGATGGCATGCGATTTGGATTTGGTTGATACTTTAACTTTCTATATTATCGTTGTTTCTAGATCTGGTCATGTATTTTATTTGATTTTTTTCTGTATTTTAATAGAAAGTTCAAGTACTTAGGCACAAAAAAATTTGTTCTTTTTTCATCTATTAATGGAATTCACGATGTATATATTAAAATTGAATTGTTAGCAATCTGTATGATTCTGCTATGAAATAATTGGGAATTTTAGAAGATTAATAGGGCTTTATGGTTGTGAACGGTTCATATCTATCTATTTTGTTCTGTGAGTGTGAGCAGGACGCTGAGTCATGTTTCCCTTTACAGATGTCGGCGGCGATTGGAAGGTCATTCCAGCATAGGAGAGGTGGTCTCTGTGATATCCGGGAAGTGACTTATCAATGAAGTATAAGCAGGCTGGCTGCTGAGCCATTCTTCGCTTTACAGATGTCGACGGACGACTGGAAGAGAAGTCAAAAAAACACGCTGTCGATGAATAAAAAAGCAAACGAACAAACACAAAAAAACAAAAAACAAAAGCCTTGAATGTGATTCTCCTCTTCACGCCAGCTGCATGCCTCAAGGCTCAACCGCGCTGTCAGCTGCATGCCTCAAGGCTCAACCGCGCCGCCAGCTTGCATACCCTGGGTCAAAAAGAGACGGTGAAGTTGCAAGCAAACTTCACTGGAATTCATGTCCCGTGGAGTTTTTCAACTGTAAATCTGCACGGGATTTGAAGTCCCGTGAAGTTTGGAAACTTTTTTCGCCAAAACCGATCTAGTTTCAGCCCTGAGGCTGAAACTAGATCGGTTTTGGTAATTAAAGTTGAAACATGCCGTTTTTAGGGAATATTTTTACAAAAAGGGTTTGTTTTGAAAATTTGTCCATATAAATAATACGCGGCATAAGCTTCTGTACTTCTTGAGTCTTGGTTGCATCGCAAGTGGGTAGCTTAAATTAACTTCACTCAAACTTTAATGCTAAAGTTTAACAGGAATATGTGATAATTTACTTCTGATCAAACTCACTGAAGTACATAACAATTCTGTTCTATTATTAAGTAGTCTGGATGAAGAACTTTACTACAAAGCAGACAATAATATACGGCCTGAGCTCTCTTTATATTCTCTTTACACTACAACTACATATATTTAAGCAGAGTTCTTTTTGAGGGTTTGGAGGAGTTAATTTGCTGCACACTTACAACCATGAAATAGAATACGGTATGATTTTTACTAAAAAATAGCAAATATACATGACCACTTTCGTGAATGTAACACTACAAACATACAAAAACACCAATATATTCAATATGATTTCAGATAGCACTTCAGCATAATTTCACCAATTGATTAAGATATCCGCTAATCCTCCTTGTTTGTACTTTCAGGAATGGATTGAAGACATGTCCAAATATGTAAAATCAATAGACAGGAATCATCTAGTTACAATTGGACTTGAAGGTTTCTATGGACCGGGAAGCCCTCCAGAGAAACTCAGTCTCAACCCAGGAGAATGGTTCGGTACCTTAGGAACTGATTTCATTCAAAACTCCAAGATTTCAACCATTGACTTCACTTATGTGCATATATATCCTGATCAATGGTAAGCAGATTCTTTAAGGCCCAGTTTGGTAAAGAGTTAAGGAAGAAGGGTTAAAGAGAAGGATTAATGTACTTAGCCCATTTAATAATCTGAAGGACTAAATTATAAACCCGTTAAATAAGTTTTATTTTAACCATTGTGATCAGTTTTAGTGTTTGAGAATAACAATGATTTTGACTATTTTTTTTATAATTAGAATGGTTAACTCTTATTCATTCTAAATAGGAGTATTAGTAACCACTCATTTTGAGGGGTTAACTCATTTTAATCCCTCTAGAGGGGTTAGCTTAACCCTTTTATATTTTTTATGTTTGGCAAATTATGAAAGGTTAACTCACTTTAACCATTGTATAGATTTTTTTTGTGTTTGGCGGGTTAAGAAGGGGTTAAGTCTCCTTAACCCCTCACTTAACCCTTTGCCAAACGGGGGATTTGTATATAAACCCCTTGAACATATTTTATCTCACAAAACCTCTCTGAACATATTATAATGTGTGAAGATTTTTTTTTTTTTGTGCTATTTTTGTATGCATTGCGATAGTAATTGAAAATTCCATGTACAAATCCTTCTTCGCCGTCCTGTGCTGTACATCATGGCCGTTCACTCATTCTTTTTCCATATATGATATATACAAGCATACGCCGAGAGTATATTTCATTACCATGCTTCTTAATCTTTGAATCATCTGGTTAGGCACGTTGCCAAAGAACAGATGCCACAAGTAGTCACTTCGATGAATTATCACTGAGCTCTTTCGGCATAAAGCTTACTGACTAGTTCTTATGTGGCCGCATCTAAAGCATTACCAAGCATAGTTTTTCCAAAGAGGAGGAATAAGAAAACGGGCGCACGAGCCAACTGATTCAATTAGCTAACAGCATGTTACACAAAAAACTGACGGTAAAAACTGATAGGGTTAGCTAATTTTGTTAGTCCACACGAAGATCCGTTGCATTCCTAATAAGCTCCACGGAGTCATATTATTCAGTATTTTGGCAAGTGCCCTTGAATGAACTTTTAAGCAAATAAATCACGCCACTGTTACAACGTTAGTGCTTGCAAAACATGCGTAAAAATATACTCGTGGAATGAAACATATAACAGGAACTGGTAGATAGGAAGAATACTTTGATTAAAACCCTAGTCATTCAACACTTAAAACCAGGGACCGAGAATTCAACAAGTATTCTCTGAATCTTCTGATCAAACTGGAGTAAACATATTCGGATTCTACACTCTTAAGACTTCAACACATTGCAAAATGGGACAATCTAGATGTTTGGTCACAATACCGACCAAAGTACACAAATATTCCAACAAGGCCACAGTAACCAATACAAATGGTCCAAATCGTGGGTAAAGTAATCATGTTTGTGTTACATAATTATGGATAGAAACCCCCTTTCCAAATATGGTACCATATTAGAACACAAAACTCCAACAGAAATATAATTAGAAGACAATATGCAAAGGCAAAGATCAGTTTGGGGAAGAAAGGGTAGAAAAAATAAAAAATAAAAATGGGATCGAAGCTCATAAAGCAAAAATGAAGGGGGAAAAATCCCAGAAACAATAACACACCCATTGTCACGCGTATACAAAAAACATTAAAGAGTTATCAGCCTCGTAAAGAGACAATATCACCCAAGATATCAAAGAAATGGTTTATGTCCATCTTCTGTTTCCCAGAATAAATAGCTTCTGAACTTCCACCTTCTGCTCCCTGGGCAGCCATCTCCACAAGCATATATAGTTTCTTTATTGGCATCTGCAACATCATAGCATTGTGTAAGAACAAATTAAATATATTTCACTGCAACAAGTCATATGATCATGATCACTCGGGAAAAATATATAGACTAAGCAATGAAAGCTAGTCCACTTTATATTAGAAAGGTGCAAGAAGAGACATCAACTAAATCTAATTGATCTTATTATATGTTCTGCCCAATTGATGAATAACAGAATTAGAAGAAGTCTACAGATAAATGAATTAACAGAATAGAATAAACCTACATTATGGACTGCTTCAGCTGCTGAATCAATATCGTCATCTGCAAATACATTGAGAGATTGCAGTACCTGCGGAAGAAAATTGCGACACTTAGGACATAGGAGCATTTTGGTACTTCAGTATTCGTGCTAAGAAAAAAGTGTTAGAATTGCCTCCCTAAGGCTATTGGGTACTTTGTGCAAAGATGGTTGCTACCCCTATTGCACACACAAAGATAGCAGCTTCAAACACAAGTCCCTTCAAAACTCTAGCAGTTACCATTTTAACACGACACAACTATGATTCTCTTCACCCTTGGTGAAGTGCTAATAACCCCCAAGAAATAGCGATAGACGAAGAAGAATATTATATATCTACTTATATTATATTATATATCTACTTATATTAATTGCCTACTCATTTTTGACATACTTTTCTAGAATCAACTTACTTTTTTGGCATCTTGTTTGTCCAATGTAGGGACATGATAAGTGACAGAGAAAGCATCACAAATACCAAGAGACTCAAGAAAGCCCGCTTCACTTGTTGTTCCAATTACCAGCATGTTCTTCCCCTGTAGAAAAATAAATCAGATTGCAATCGTGTCCAAATGTTCTAATTATTGATACCATCAGAATATTAAAGACATTTACAATATCTCACAATAAAATTCAGTAAGATATAGCTTCAACACCTAACCCTATTCATAAATAAGATTAAGTATGGAAAAGGAAAAGGCAAACAATGCATAAGAAATATGAAACATTAGGCAAAGAAAAAGAGGAAAACAGGAACTATTAACAAAAACATGGCTAACATGCTTAATAAAACCATACAACTACAAGTGAGTTAGGAAAGAACTTTCTATGGACAAAATACCCTTCAACTTTATTCATATTACATTATGATAATGTAATCTTATCCTAATTAATTTAAATTAATTGCTATAAGTTTCAATTATTCTATTCTGAAAATACCATCTAAACTTTTAGGTATTACATTATTATAATATAATCTTATCCTAATTTATTTAAATTAATAGATATAAGCGTCAATTATTCTATCCTATCCTAACTAATACGGAGTTTGGGTAACTTTTCCATAGACAAAAATACACTTACCCTTCTAGATATTACATTATTATAATATAATATTATCCTAATTAATTTAAATTAATAGACATAAGCTTCAATTATTCTATCTTAAAAATACCCTCGAACCTTTTAGATACTATATTATTATAATATAATTTTATTCTAATTAATTTCAATTAGTAGATATAACTTATAAGCTTCAATTATTCTATCATATGCTAATCAATATGTATATAAGCTCAGATTTGATTTGATTTAAGTATGTAAAAATTTATATAAAGTTATATATTTAAGTATTATAAAGAATTTTTACTAAATCCTCAATAAGTATATTAAAATTTATATTAAGTTATAGATTTAAGCATGTTAAGAATTCTCAAAAAGAAACGATTATAATATTTTATTTTAAGTATGTTAAAATTTTAATTTTTTTACTCCATAATTGAAAAGACTTCAAAATATTAAAAAATTTTGTAGAAAATACATGATTTCATTATGATCATGTTTTAAGTAATTGAAATATCTTTAAAAAGATGCATGAATATTTATTTAATATAAATTATAAAATAGAAAATTTCAAAAATCAAAAAATTATTTAATAGAGAAAACAGATAAAGATTTAAAACTACAACCATCTAATGAATTAAATTTGGTACCTAACAAGTAAAAAAATGAACTCTTCATCTTATCATTTGTTTGTTTATATTTAAAATTTAAAATAAAGATATAAATAATTAGATCAATTATAAAATATTCTCACCTCTAAAATTATCTTTATAATTAAGGAGATAAATGTTTATTATGTGTTATTAACCGAGATAGAAAATATCCAAAATCCATAAAACTTACCTAATCGTAGAAATCTCTGAAGGACTTCCATAATTTGAAGATTTGATTAAAAAAATTAACTTACAAAATTGGTAGGAATAACCAAAAGAATACCAGAAATTGTATAATTTTTGAAAAAATTGCATAGAACTTGTCGGAAACCCAAAAGACTTTAAAATATTAAAAATTTTGCAAGAAAAACCCTAGATTTTACAAAATTTATGAAAAAGCCTAGATTTTACAAAATCGCAGAAATATGCAAAATTACAAACATTTTAAATATTTACAAAAAAAATGCTAAATTAATAAAACACAAGAACTTAAAAAGTTTATAGAAGAAATAATCCTAACACTTCAAAAAGACCCTTGAAATTTTATTAATTTACAAAAATAATCCTAGAACTTTAAATTTTTTTGTCAAATAAGATGAATCTTAATAGCAAGTAAATATCATGAAATTTTATGAGTAAAGCCCAAGAACAATATTAGAATTTGTAGCTCATTTATGATCATTATCTGCAAAATAACTTTTCTAATAAGAGCAAACATGTATCCAATTTATTCAAAAAATATATACATTATATTAATACATACACAATTTTTTAGTAGCTCTTTAAATAATTAGTATTTTGATATTAATCCCTCGAGTTGCAAAAATATGTAGACATCAGTTCCTATGTTTATGGTCCAAAATCTTTCATCATGGTTAGGTTTAGACTAACCATGAATGTTTAGCGCGCGCTCTCTCTCTCGCGCGGCCTTTTATTTAGTTTCTTGAGCTTAATGGGTACAAATGTTTTGGATACTATGAGTGAGGGCATCTTTATTAATTTTCTTAAAAACGTTAAACATAACAGAATATTCCCTATCATTTATAATATTAATTAACTATAGAAACTCATATCAACATATTTATGCACTTTGAGGGGCTAACATCAAAATATAAAGATTTGAGGGACTAATAGCAAAATACTAATGATATAAGGGACTAATAAAAAAACCCACATGCATGTTTGTGTGTGTTTGCATGTATGCGACAATTAAAACAATTTATGAGATTATGACTACAATAACAACTAGGGATTTATCAACCGATCATCAACCCTTATTCACTTAGATATTGTAGACTATTTTTGCTCATTTTATTTTTAAATTTATGTATTCTTATATGTGAACACTAAAAAATTCTTCATAATACTTTCTATTATTTTTTTGTTTTGATTAAGTTTCTCATTTTTATGTTCATAAAAACAAATTTAAACAATAAAATAATTATTTCCACAATAAAGTTGTAGCAAATATATAAACTCAATAGAAACAAATAGAATACTTAACCACATGCAACGTACGTGCATCCCAACTAGTATATGTATAAAAAAAGTTAAGTCTTAGTTGTTATATACAAAAATCCGAGAGAAAGGAATCAACACATTATTCAGCCTCTTTTCTTATTAATCATTAGAGGGCAAGTGATGGAGAAAAGAAAACCTTTGGAGGAAGCCGTTTCAGAAGAACCATCAATGAATCATTAGAGGGCAAGTGATGGAGAAAAGAAAACCTTTGGAGGAAGCCGTTTCAGAAGAACCATCAATGTCTGTGAAATCAGATTTGAGAAGCGAGGTGAAAACCTTTGGAGGAAGCCGTTTCAGAAGAACCATCAATGTCTGTGAAATCAGATTTGAGAAGCGAGGTCCAATAGGAACATACTCCAGTAACCTGAAGTAACAACATGAGGTATTAGGCACAAGAAACACATACATACTGATATTGAATAAGTAACATAAAAAAATCAGCAACACTTTATTTAACATAATTCAGGAGAAATGCAAGAATGTTTGTATCATCTCATATTAAGGATTGTTAGACTGTTTGTGTATATCTTATGATCATGAGCTGGCAACACAACTGAACGTTTGAAACAGGATTTCCTGTAGTTAATTCCAACTTTATGAGAATGTACCTTGTAGACAAAAAAATAAAATAATATTATTACTGTTAGGATTTATTTTCCTAAAGACCAACTTAAAGTAGGGTATTTATGCGGAAACCACCTTTCAATATACATAAACCACCTTTAAAATAGGTTTATTTGTTGCAATCAACCATCTCCTAGTTGAAGTTTTCACTAAAAACCCAAAATTGCCTTTAAAAAACTCACATTCATAGCACAAGTCTTATTTTTGTAGCGTTTAGGTCTTGGTAGGATACAATTCACGAACCTTGAACTTGAATCTTTTAAGCTTATTTTTGGTTTTTAAGTGAAAATTTTATTGGGAGATGGTTGATTGCAACAAAAGTCTACTTTAAAATGGTTTATGTATATGACATTGAAAGGCGGTTTCTAGGGGAAAAAACCCTTATTATTATAATGGGTAGAGGAAAGGTCTTGCATAGGTGGCCTACACATCATAACTACACAGGTAAGTGGTAGATGGGTGACAAGTACCCGTCTAAAATGAATCTTAAAACAATAAACAAGAGCCCTTCCTTCGTTTCTTTTGGTGTCTTGGGTACTTGGTACTAATATAGCATCGATCAATGGTGCATGGCGGCTAAGCAGCACAAGAATTTCAATGTGTGTTTGCAAGCTTGTATGCCCACATGTCAGTGGTGGTGATGGTAATGATGATGATGACGGTGTTAATGATGATCTAATTTAAATTGCATAAGTAACACCTATGGCAGTGCAGGGAGGCGAAAAAAAAAAAGAACACAAGCACACACCATGGAGTCTAGAAATGCTACAAGAAGAACATGATAAATATCACTTCCTCCGTCACTTTTAGATGCCTTTTACGACTAACATATATAGTATATATTAAGAAAATTAATTAATGCTGTTTCCTAACTGTCAATATTTTGATTTCTCATTCATACCCTTTCTTTATTTATAGAACTTTTGTTAATTTCCGTACTTATCTATGGTTGATAGAAAAACAATCAACAAATTAACAACAGGCCACAACAAAGATTTTTTTTTCTCTCACCAATAAAAGTTGCTAAAAAGACAATTAAAAGAAATCAGAGACTATATGGAAGTAAATGTTGTCAAAGCTTAAAAGTCAGGAGTTCAAAGCTACCTTTCAATGTCATCAAGGACTATAATGCTTAACTGGGATCTGTAAGCATCCTCAAAAACCTACATTAGAATTAAAAAGAAACGTCATTTTGGAAATATCAATACATTATCCTATCCTTCCAGCCACAGTAAAATAGGATAGATTAAAAAAAAAGGATATGATGATATTCATGTTAAGCACAAGATTTAAGTTAAACAAAATATGTTAAAAGGACAACAAAAATAATTGAAATGCCAAAAATCAGCATAGCTAGTGAGTGGGATTTCAAACCATTAGTTCTAGAAAATGTTGAAAAGCTGTCACATTTTAATATGTGATGCTCTCATCTGATTACATATACAAATTTAAAAAAAATCTAATATTAACAAATGATTTTATGTCTTCTTTAGCTTCTCTTAAATTGCTTGATCGATAAGTAGGTTTGCTAGAGGTAAAACACCTTTTCTAAATCACATTGAAAACTTCAAAAAACAACAACAAAGAGATAGTAATATTAGAGACTTATTAAAGGAAAAAAGACATATTTTCATCTTTCTTGTTAATTGGAATTTCAAATGTAGTGATGAGTTTTTAGCCAATTTCACAAATTATGCACCCAGTGAAGACCTAACAAAATAGATATTTCATGAGAATTCAACGTAAATAATTAAATGCTAGAACATGAATTATGTGTCAGAAACACACTGTAGGAGCTATGAATATTCATAGTTCATAAGGTTTTACCAATATGAGAGTTTGCATATGCCTAACCTCACGGAAAAAAATTAAGAAAATGCAGTTAATAAAATTGTAGCAAACCTTGACAATTTTCGCACATTTAGTGCTTTCACTGAGACCAATCATTGACTCTGCGGATATCTACAATAAAAATGGGTTTGATCATTTTGACAAAAATAAGCGTAACTTACAAAAAAGTTTATGAAGAAGGAGCTTACAATTTTGACGTAGGGAAAATCACTATCAATACCAATTGTAGCTGCCATTGCACTCTTGCCACTAGGGCAGAACAAAGAAGGTTAAAAAATTAAAAAAAAAGTAAACAAATTTAGGTGAAGAAAACAGATATTAAGCATCTTACCTGCCACCAGGACCTTCCAAAAGGCAAGTAACAAGGGGGCTACCCTTGCTCACCTTAACTTGTTCTACAAGCAGCATAGCTCTTTGATAGATGTGCTTGTGCCTCTCGCCACAATCAACAATACCATTAAGCCTGTAAAGTGTTCATAGTTTAGTAGAATACGTAGCATCACTTAAGAGAGCATATATGAAACTGCTTGCAGTTGTAACACACCAACAAAAACAGTGTGCTAAACCATAGTTGCATGGAACCTGGTTTGTTCCGGTTCCGGTTCCGGTTCCGGTTCACGGAACAGGTACGGAAGCGTGGTACGCCACTTATTAGGATTTGGTTACAAGGGAGGTAGGCTTATACGATATGCTAGGGGACGCGGTATGCTATAGGTTCGGTTCTTAAATGTAGGAATTAGATGTTTAGCAAGAGCCAAATTTAAGAAATATGCTAGTTGATATCAGTAATGGTTTATAAAAAAACCCTTGAGAATCATGTTGCAATAAGGTATGCATGCTTTATTTTCTTAATTTCTTGTGTTTTTTGTTGTTTATTCTTTAAGAAAAGTGTGTTTTTTTCAAAATAAATCAGGTTGATGGAGTTGGTGAATCAGGTTGTGTTCCACACAAATCCAGGACAATTGAACCTGGGTCATGGTTCGCTATAGCGTTCCAAGTGCCCGACTTCTATGTGCTAAACTATCTTATGTTTTGTCTTACAAGAAGTTAAATGGACAGCAAGGCGAGTGTAGAATATAATAGTTCTAAGTTTAAGAGCTGTACATGGTTATGATGCTAGCTTGCAAGCAAGAAGTGGAAAATATACACTGAAAGCAACAACATGACCTAAATACAGAAAGTTCTCAGAGTGGAAGGACAATTTTATTTAATTTTACAAACTCACTAAGCAGAAATGCATGCAGAGGACTCTCACTAGACACTCGGGCAGCTGATCAATGTCAAAGTTTCAAGTTGCTTCGCTCAGAAGTTAGCTCTTCAGCAGACCTATTATTACCTAGAAAAGTTTTAGATCAACAATGCATGCAAAAATCAAATAGCAATGGCCAATATGGCTTGGCCTCCTCCAGAATCTCATGCATGGTTTCATTTGCCTGACTGATATTAGATGATTGCCCTAAGTCCTGTAGTATCTGCCCAGAGGATCGCTATTTAGTACACTCCTTATCATACCAACATTCGTTTCTTTATCTTTGATTGCAAAAGACATCTACAGATCCATGACACAAAATACAACAAAATTATTGAAATGGGCTATTTCAAATCATACAACTTGTATGAGAATTATTAGCGCATGCCCAGGCACACGCGCCCACACATGCAAGCATGCACATGCACAAGAAGTCCAGATTAACACAAGTTATTGACACGACGCACAGCTTTTTCTTGTATTTTCCTTTGACATTGCCAAGATGAAAGGTTGGTATTATAAGTAGAATTCCATTAAAGTGCATTGAGAATCTAAAATTCAAGTACCAAATATGATTTGTGAACTGCAATTCAGTCAGTCCATCTCTCTGAGGCTGTGCACACAAGCACACATGAGTCAGTGAGTGGGTGTGGCACGTAACTGAAACACATCTTTTTTTTTTGGTGAGTACTGAAACACATATTTAAGTTAAATGGTGTTTACATAAAAGTAGTGGGCATGACAACCCACAATTAAATCGAAGCACAGAATAATGTGCTACTCTCAGAAGTAACGCCCTTTTAGCCTATGTGCCTACTACACACAGGTCTTCTCTATGTCACTCGGATATATTTGGGATTAAACTCTGAAAACAAAAAAATCTTAGTAATATTAAGTTGTGAACATGTGAGTGACTCGAATGATGCATAGATCCTCCACTTCTCATTTGGATAATTTCTGTGGGTGTACACGCGCTTCTGTGTCTGTGTGCGTGCATGGGTGGGGTGGGTTTTCTTTTTGTGTGTGCGTGTTTTTTTTTTTTTTTTTTTTTTGGGGGGGGGGGGGGGGGGGGGTGGGGAGAG